AGTGAGTGGGTGAGTGGGTGAGTGAGTGAGTGAGTGAGTGAGTGATTGAGTGAGTGAGTGAGTGAGTGAGTGAGTGAGGTTATGAGTTGGCGAGTGAGTGAGCTTGCGAGCCAGAAGAAGAATTAAAGGTTTACGATAATAATCAGAGCATGAATACAGGACTAAAACTGGTGTTGACTTTGGTTTCACAGAAATTAAAAGTCTGTTCACATTTTTTTTCGTCTTCGATACTGAAACTTTTGTGGATTGACCTAATGACCATTTGTATAGCTCATAAGCTAATGAATTCGCCCACTAATGATTTAATGAGTGAAGAGCACATTTCTTTTACTGTGAGGAAGAGGGGAAGGGGGGGGGGGTGAAATTGAGGCTGGCAAATACAGTAAATACAGTAAAAGCTATGGATTTCAGTCTTTTTCAAAAGAGAATGAGACCATCGTCTGTGGTGTAGCGGCCAGACACTTCGCTATCTCACGCAGAAGACCAGAGTTCAATTGTGGGTGGTTGGCGGGTGCTCTGGTGTGGTTTGCTCCTTCTTTCCTATAAAAGATCTATCGTCTCTATCTCCCATCCTTCTTTTTAATGTTTGTTACTCTCTTGTAACACCTAATGTTCGGCACTTATATGACCTTAGTGAGTTGCAAGTGCCGTAAAAGTCTTACTAAAACTAAAACAGAGTTCAATTCCTGCGTGGGGAGAACTTCTATGGAGTACATGTATCTCAGTCTGTCTGTTGGGACGCTGTTTTTCTACCAGCATAATATGTTGGCTTTGACAGGCAGGGTTGAAGGCTGCCTCCTAAATGATCTAAACTGTATCGATGAGGGTGTAAAAGACACCTTTATTAAAAAAGAACAAGGACGTAAAGTTGTACTGAGAGCAGGACCTCTGATGTAACATCAGTCTACAACATGACAAAACCTCGAGGGAGGAGAACGTAAAAAAAACCCACAAAGTAATAAAATTGCTGACGATTGTACAAATACAGGTACATTACTTTGTTAGGGATTTGATCCCAGGTCTGCCGCATCGTATTCCAGTTCCTTATACATACCAGTACCCTTTGATAGGGTCGAAGCGTCTTCGTGATCAAATGATCACAGCTTCCCTTTCGTAATTTGAGAACATCGTCGTCGTCAAATACAACCATAGACGTAGGCCTTATAAATTTAAATAATTCAAATTTGAGACGTGTTCTTTACTTTAACTTTAACTTTTTCCTTCCTCTGGTATCCTTAGGATGTCGAGGGGAGGTGCAGGTTTCGGTTCTTTGCTAAGTGAGTGATGTCTGTGATAGATATGTTGTTCCAGGACCGTTTTAACCGCATCCAGCCAGGTCTTTCTTGGTCTTTATCTTGATTTGAAGCCGGATTCAATGGGTCTGGTAAGCTCTGGCCGCTAGTTGTTTCAGGGGAATTCTGTTTCGATGTCAGAACCATTTGACTCTTTGGCACTCTATGAAATATATTACTGGTGGTATTCCAGCTTATAGACGTATGGTTTCGTCCTTATGTGATCTCTTCTGGTGACGTTGATGGTTTTGCGGAGACACCTTATTTCGCATGCATTGCTATTTCTTTCTCTTGCCTTGTTTAGAGATCATGTTTGACACTTGTATGTTAAAGTTGGTATGAGGATGCTATTGATAAGCTCTGGTTTCACTTCGGTTGGGATTTTCTTGTGACTGAGTAGGGGTGCTAGCTGGTAGGTCAGTGCATTTGCTTTCATAGTTTTTGTTCGTATTTCTTTGTCCATAGGCCTATTTTGTGTCAAGAAGCTCCCCAAATCTATACACTCCTCTACTTGTTGGAGTTGTGTTCCGTTAATAAGGATGTTGAGTTTCCCTGCGTTTCTGCTGACCTTCATAACTTCTGCTTTTGAAATGGAGATTTTCATGTTTAGGTGTTTACATTCCACATTTAGCCTTGTGGTGTATGTTTGTAATTCCTCTTCATCTTTATTTCATGTACTCTGGTTATCAGCTAATAGAAGCTTGTTCAGTTTAGTGATATTCGCTGCATTCGTGATCTTATCCATGTAAGTGATGAAGAGAAGCGCAGAGAGAACACACCCTTGTCTCACCCCAGACCTGATGGGGAACCAGTCCGATAGTCCTTCTGTTGATCTTACGACACACAGGCTGTTTTTTAAAAAAATTGCAACATAAATACCCTGCTCACCCCTTTCGGGCCATTATCCTAAGCCGTCACAGGCACAGATACCTAAGTTAGCAATTGACCTTGTATAGTCTTCCTTTAAAAAAGGTGAAAGGGGGGGGGGGGGGGGGCTTATTCCTAATTACCTCGTGGATGCTGTGTACTGTGTGTGTTTAGTTGTTGTTTTTCCCTCGACCGTTTCCCTCTCTATAATCAATCAGGTCATGCGACGATTTCCTGGCCACGGAAAGATAGACAAAGACAGCCAGATTTGAACCTAAATTGTTAATTCAAAATTCGCAGTATTGTCATTTCTACTTATTTGCTTTCTGTTTGTGTATTCACATCTTTTGTTTAATTTACTTTTGAAAAGAACTGAGACCATTATTTACACCGTGTGTTTAAAAGTTATAATTACGTTTTGCCCAAAATGGGTATAAG